AGTTAGAAGTTTAGTTCTTGGTTGTTGTCTAGATGTTGGTGGTTGTGTTGAAGCTAGAGTTCTTGATGCTCAATCTATCTGTTTGTTAACCTCTTGTCAATCCTTAAATTTGAAATGCCTTCTTTCTTGCTTTGGAATACTTCTTTGCTTTGGAAGCCTTGTGAGTTCTTTTGGAGTCTTTGACCAAAAGAGTTATTCTTGAACTTCTTGTCACAATGATGTTTCCTTTCACCGTTTGGTTTTAATTCGTCGTACCCAAGCTTCGGGGACGAAGCTTCTTTGAAGGGGGAGAGGATGTGACACCCCAAAAATCCACATTCAATCCATGGATTAATTGAGTAATTAATCCTATTTTATTTGAGGAATTAATTCCTAAAATCCTGATTTTTAATACTCAAGGACTAGTATTTGACTAGTCAACCTTAAAGTTGTGTTATACCTTGAGCTTTGAGGGCAGTTCCCTTGTTCCTTACACATTCTAAAAGTTAGTAAGGGTATTCTTGACTTTTCACCAAGAGTTAGTATTGTAACCTAACCTAGAAGACTTCTTCATTTCATTCCTTACAATTCTTAGAAATTAGCTCTACCTTCTCTCTAGAAAAGAAGTGTAGCTTATTCTCCAAGCCAAGTTGAGAACCTTGTCAAGATTCCAAGATTTGCTTCCAAGATTCAACCTTTCACCTATTTGGGCATCTAGGAGGGTAAGATCTAAGTTTATCTTGTGTTTTTGGTTCCATCTTAGTTGTCTTTTTCTTAAAGGTAGGATCTTTATGATCTTTTGGTTTGATCTTGAAGTGGGTTTGGAAAGTAAGCTTTGTGGGGAGCTTGTTGTGGTGTAAAGTGAAGTCTTTTGGTCTACAAGAGGTAACCCATGCTCTACAAAACCTATTTTGCTTACCTATATGTGATTTCTTGGATTCTCCATGTGTTTTGCTATGAAATGTGAGGGTTTATGCATTTGTCTTGTGATATTGCATATCTAGAGCTTGTGTTTAGGGTTCCTTTGTGCCATTGCTTGGCATTTTCCATGGTTCAAGTCATTTTGTTGTATTGGGTGAGATTTAGCATGTTTTGGACTTGAATTTGTGTTTGGAGAAGAAAATCCCCGAAGGGATTTGTTGTGGAACAGAAATGTTCCCGCGGGCGGAACGGCGGGCGGGGCACCACCCGCCGGCCTACCCGCGGGTACAATGCTTGTGGGAATGTGTTCCCGCGGGCGGAACCACGGGTGGGGCACTACCCGTGGGTCCACCCGCGGGTACATGGTGGAGTTTGTTCGGGATTTGTTCCCCGTGATCCGTTTGACTCGGTATTTGGTCTTTTGACTTCCCGATGTGCTTTTGTGGAACTATTTGAGTTTCTTCTTGATGTTTTGTATGTCTAGAACTATATGGTAGGTATCCATGTAGGATTTTGGTGTCTTGAATCGTGTTAAGTGTTCAACATTGTGTTTCGTTGGACCAAGAGGTGTCTTGTGTGTTCCTCGGAACTATCTTATGTTTCTCCATTGATAAGCATGCTAGTTTGTTGTCTAAATGCTAGCGTGTGTGTTGTTTGTACCTTCCGTTTGGTTGATGATAACTTGTGTTATTCATCGTTGATGTTGTTGTGCTGTGACCCGTTCCTTGATTGAGTATGTTTCATTCCTTCGTTGTGATCCGTTGCTTGACTCTTATTGAGTTGTGGTGCGTGTGTGGCTTTACCTGGATTGCACGAATAGTGGTATGGGACACTAGTCACCAAGGTATTGCAGCGGTCCTCGTGGTGGCCGTGACGTGATTATGGAGTTGTAGCCTTTGTGTAAGGTTCACGTTTTATGGGGGATAACATGTGTTATCCGGGCATGTGTTGTCGTGTACGGTACCTTGTGTACTATGAATTGGTGGTCTCGTTGGTGGGGGACGACGGTCCCGAGGGAATAAGGTTGGACTAAGAAGTACAGGGGTCCTGGAGGTAATGGTTGGAAAAAGATATAAGGTTAGGGGTAGCCATAAGGTTGGAACAGGGTATAAGGAAGGCATATCAACTTGTGATGGGTGATGTTGCGAGGGCTTGTAAAGCCGGCGTTGTGTGTTCTTCTCTCGTGACGTGTGTAGTCACGGAGGCATGTGTTGCTTTGGCATGTGTTGCCGTTGGGTGAGTCTTTATCCTTTGCGTGGTGGTTAACCTTTGTGGTATGGGATGTGTTCCCGTGTTATCCTTGTGAGTGATGAGTCTTGTGTTGACTATTGATCTTGGCTTTTGACTTAAATATATATATATATATATATATATATATATATATATATATATATATATATATATATATATATATATATATATATATATGTATTCCATTTCGAAAATGGTTTTACACTTTATATCTATCTATGTATGATATTTCACATGTATTGGTGGGTTACCAACATTTATCGCTGACCGGGCGTCGTCCCAATGTTTATCTTTGTATCTTTCAGGTGATGTTTAGACGAGCGCGATGTCTAGTTCCTGGTAGCTTAGTGCTCTCATCCTTGTTTTGTGGCCTGTGTGCCTATGTTGTTTTAGACTGATGTTTTGGGATAGATGTATACACTTGCAGATTGGTTACCGTAGCGTTTACCGTGTTTGGTAGATGTGGCGTGACACCCCGTTCGGATTTCTTTTATCTAGTTTTCGTTTTACCTTCCGCTGTGCTAGTTTTGTTGTTTAATCTGCATGTGTTAAGGCTTTTATATAGGTCTTGTTTGGGGGGTGTTACAGGGATCATATATCTATGGATTTTGCGATTGGATTACAGAACAGTCAGCATGGGGAAAATACAATTTGGGTTATTGTGGATCGGCTCACTAAGGTTGCACATTTTCTACCCATTAAGAAGACCTAGCTGAGTTGTATGTGGATGAAGTTGTAAGGTTACATGGTGTACCTGTTAGTATAGTATCTAACCAGAACTCTAGATTTGTGTCAAAATTTTGGAGAAGCTTATAACGAGCCATGGGGACTGAATTAAAATTAAGCACTGCATTTCATCCACAAACAGATGGGCAAACCAAAAGGACTATTCTAACCTTGGAGGACATGCTTTGAGCTTGTCTCTTGGATTTCATGCGTAGTTGGAGTAAATACTTAACTTAAATTGAGTTTGTATATAACAATAGCTACCAATCGAGTATAGGTATGTCACCTTTTTGAAGCTTTATATGGAAGGAAATGTAGATCTTCTTTATATTAGGATGAAGTTGGAGAAAGAGAGATCTTAGGGCCAGAACTTGTACAACCCATAGTTGTGAAGATTCAATTAATTAAGGAAAGAATTAAAGTCTCTCAAGACAGACAAAAGAGTTTGTTCCTTGAAAAGAAGAGAATTGGAATTCAAAGTTGGGGATTTGGTGTATTTAAAGGTTTCACCAACTCGAGGAGTAATGAGGTTTGGAGAGAAAGGGAAGTTAAGTCCACGTTACATTGGACCATTTGAGATTCTGAATAGAGTTGGTAGTTTGGCTTATGAGCCAGCACTACCACCACAATTAGTTGGAGTTCACAATGTATTCCATGTATCAATGCTACGAAGGTACATTGAAGATCCGAGTCATGTGGGGGATTATCAACCACTCCAAGTTAGAGATGATTTAACTTATAAAGAAATACCTTTTTGCATCATTAACTGAAAGGAACGAGTGTTGAGGTCCCGAGTAATCCCATTTGTTAAAGTGCAATGTTCACATCATATCCCAAGAGAAGCAACATGGGAAAAAGGAAGATGATATGAAGGATAGATATCCTGAACTCTGCAAATTTGAAGGTATGCAAGTTTCGAGGACGAAACTTATTTTAAGGAGGGGAGATTGTAATACCCACATCCTTATAAATAAAATATATCTATGTTATTAAAATAGGTCAACAAGTCAAATGTTATTAAATTTGATATGGATACAATTACAAAATTACCCTTATTTACCCTTAAAGGTTAAGGAACCACTTTGGTCTTGGATAAACATTTCATTTGAAAGAAGATAAAGGGGAGCTAACTAGAGAGAGATAGGGGAAGGAAAAAACCTTAAAGCTTTGATCTCCATCTTCTTCAAGCTTAGATCTCAAGCTATTGGAGTATTCTAGGTAAGTTTGACCTCCATATTTCACTCTTTGAGTTGGATTTATCATTTAAGCCCTAAGATTGATGTTTGAAAATATTAGGAATTTTTGACAAGGAGTATTTGGGTGAGCTAAATTGCTAAGATTTGGATGTGTTTAGGTAAGTGTTTATGTCTCTCAAAATTGTTTTTGCCCTATACTATAAATTAAACTTGTGTTTTGGATTGTATATTAAAGTTTTGAGCTGTGTTTTTATACTGGAGATGTTGCATTTTTGGACTGAAAATGTTGCTGTGTATTCTGGACTGGAATTATGGGACTTATCTAATCTGGACTGGAATTATCACCATGTGTAGAGATAGTGGAATGGTTTGTGACTTGTGAGGGGTTATGGGTTTTACTCTATATGCTAGCATTCTTTCTGTTTGTTTTGTATATATTATTCTTACAAAATGGATTATTTATTTAAAGTAAGACTTGAACCCTTGAACTCATGTTTAATAATTTAAATTCTTTCCAATAATGTAATTCAACTCTTTTGAAATTATTTTAGTGTAATAAACTATTATACGATTTTAAAGAGTTATGTACTAATAAAATTATCATTTTGGGAAGGGTTTCACTAGTACAAAATTGAATATAGAAAATTGACCATAGGCCACCATTATTGAAAGAATGATTGTCTAATCTTAGCCCAAAAAATTACGACGACAATTTTGTAAATAAGTCATCAATAATCCGCCACCATTATTAATTGTAATGGTTGCCCATTGTATTTTGTATTTATTTTAAAAAAAATTGATTTATAATAGACAACTATTTCTAATAGAAATGGTTGCCTTAAAATAGAACTTGTTTTATAATAGACAACCATTTCTAATAGAAATTTCTAATAGAAATGGTTGACTAATATTAACCCTACATCTACCCTTCACTCAATCAGATCAGATCGAAATCAACCATTACCATCAGATCTCTGCACCGTATCGCTCCGATCTGCTCCGATCTTCAACACGTACCGTCTCTGCCGATCGTCTGACGCCGCCGGCCACCCACCGCCACAACACTCACCGCGACGCACCGCCACCATCAGATCAGATCGAAATCATACTCTCACCTCGTACATGCTCCGCACTGTATCGCTCCGATCTTCAACACCGTCTCTGCCGATCGTGATTACAAGTTTGAATAAATAAGAGCTTATGAAACATGTTGGAACCTAATTAGCTTCATTCTATGTTGTAGGTTGGATTATCTCCTGCTGCAAAAACCATACATTCTAGGTTGAATGTTACAGTTCCCAGAGAGCCTAACTTAGAAACTCAAGGTTGATTATGCTATGGACATACACAAATCCCTCTATCACACTGAAGATGTCCCACAAGGTGCCCCTCATTCCCTTCTGCCTAAATATTTAATATGTATATGTTTGCTATGCATGATAGTTAGTTAGATGTTCTACCTTTCCTGCAGCTAATTTGGTAGTTTTTTTGACCGTCTGTGCAATTTACTTTTAAATTTGTTGAATTCACAGGTTTTTTTCCTAATGTTTGCTTAAAAGTTCTGGTCTATTTTATATGTCGGTTTTTTTTTTTCCCTGCTTTGCTTGCAACGGGCTACATAGTAACACATTAGGGTTCTGATGTTCTTTTTTTTTCGGTTTCAATAAATTGTTACTCCGTATTTTAGATTCATTGATAATGAACAATCAGATGTGTTTCTTGGTGTCTTGGTCCCAATATTATACATCTGATTTATTATTTTGCTTAAAGAGTGTGTTTTGATGAATAAATCTGAAATCAATATCATGAATTATGGCAGATTAGCCCTTTTCATATGTTTATTATATTTGGCAGTTGACAAAATGCTTCAAGCTTCTAATAATTACATATGTGTTTGATTTAGGACTGTATGGTTTTGATTTTTAGTGATTTTTTATACAAAGCTTACGTTGATGAAGGGCAATGCGCCGAAGGCCAATCATGTGGTTAAGATATGTTGTGCACTTTGGGGTGGCAGATATGGTGATAACAGGGACATTCTGAACAAATGCTTTGCCAAACTTGCAGAGGATATTGTTAGTTGTTGACTTGTTGTCTTGAACCATAGTATTATAAACTAAAGCACTAGGATTCTCTCATTTTCATTCATGTTATATACTCATATTTCTTTGTTGATTAATTTGTGAAGTTAATTTCCAGTTTCATCATTATACATAGGGATCTCATTCCTTCTGAATCAACTAAGATTTAACCCTTGCTTGGTATTCTCAGGATTAGCAATGGCTGCAGATCCAAAGTTTAAAACATTTGAAGCTGCTTATCCCTATGTTGTTCGGAAACTTCTCACAGATAATTCACCTGCCATGAGGAAGATCCTACACTCTGTATGGTTTAGCCTGGAATAGTGCTTTATGTGTGTGTGTTGATGTATATGTATATATTGATGTAGAAGTATTGTATGTCAAAGTTCTCATACATGCTCTGAAAAATTCAATCTGCTACTCTATCTATTGTGACTCCTATTTGGGAATTCCCTTGTTCTGTTGTAGAATGTTATATTTTATGTTATTAATTGATGATATAAGTCAAGGTTACATAACCTATTATGTTGGTTTCTTATCTTTATTTGTTTATGTGCAGGTGGTCCTGAATAGAAGGAAAGAATTCCAATGGAAAAGGCTTTCTCTTTTCTTAAGAGTTGGAGCAACTAGGTATACCATTTATCTTTTCAGCACTCTTTTAATTGGTAACAGTTTTTGTGACTGTATTATAACTTCTGCCTACACCTCAAATTTATCTAATTGGTTGGTTTCATTAAGACCTCTGCAAACTCTTTGTTTAGCATTATTGGATTTCTTTTTTCCACTTGTTGCAAACAATCACTTCAAAAAATTTGTTCCACTATTGTGCTTTGACGTGCTCTGTTGGCAATTATGTGTCCACCAGTAAGAAGGATTTGTTTTTTTAAAAATTAATTTCTTCCCCATATCTATTTAATAAAAATATTGCCTTGTAGACTTGTTGAGAGTTCTTGGAACTGAATTTCTGAAACTTTACCACTTGACTCAACCATCAATTGCTTTAATAGGTTAAATATAAAAACAGTCTGTGTCGTAGACTCACTCGCACCTATTTCATATATACAAAGTTTTCAATATTATATGGAGTCGTTAAAATGGAGGAAACACTCCCTCACATTGAGTCTTTTACTGTCTGTTTAGGAAAGGGTTGCATTCTGTGCTGGGGTCCAACTCTCAAGAATCACTTGTTTATTCTGCCAAGGAAGTCAGTGGGACAGTTGATGTTGCAAACTTGGTGGTAAGATTACTACCCTCTAAAGATGGTGCAGTGCTAAGAAGGCTCCTGATGACAGCAGTGAGTACCTTTCAGCTATGACAGCCTGAATAAAAGCCCACATAAAATATGCCAATTTGCTCATATGTTTCTTTCTCTTCTAGTAGTGTTAGAATTCATGATGCTGATACATCATGGCTATATTATGTACTTTTGCGACACACAATGAACCCCTCCCCTCTCCCCACCATGTCCTTGTCAATATCCACCAGTATTTTTAATTTTACTGGTTCTGCCCTTCACTCCTGATACAGGACGGAGCTTCATTATTTCGTGCAACATAATAGAGGAATTACCAAGTGGATGGAAGAATCCTGGTCTTGCAGCCAAAGAGCGGGCAATGCGCCGAAGTCAAATCATAGCTTGACCTCCTTGATGAAGGAAATAGAGGAATGGTTCACAACATAGCACTGGCCGATTAGGCATATGAGGTTTATTTCTTCATATACTTCTTCTGATGTATTTGAATAAATGTTCTTGCTTGCTATAGCTTTGGCTTTCTCAACTTGAAGATAGAAAGTCACTGGGGGTTACTTTTGGCAGGATAATGAAACATTTGTTGAGGATGGGATGCACAAGAAAGGTCTCCTTATCAATGCTTATAGTTTGTATTGCTGCTCTAATTTGGCTTGCATCTAGTTATTGCAGCACTTCTTTTGTCTTTACTAAAAGAAAAATGGGATTGTTGAATATTGTTTATGGCATAGTTGCATATTGGTTCTCTCATTACTCTTGATGTAATGCCATCAAATGCATCCAAACTAATGCATTTTGTTTTTAAATCTGTGCAATTGCATTTCTTTCAGGATATAAAGCTGGATGAATTAGAGACCAGCCATTTTGTCCTTCTTCATGGTGGTGGTTTTGGGGCTTGGTGCTGGTATAAAACCATTGCACTTCTGGAAGGAGCTGGATTTAACAAACAGTGTTTTATGTATTTATATTTTATACAGGGCAAAACAGCAAGAAATGGTTTTATCAGATATATGCATTGCTCCGGGTAAAGCATGGGAGTATTGTCCAAGAGAAGCGTTGCGTAGAGTTTCCAGAGTCTTTATATAACCAAGTTTTTTTTTGTTTTTTTTTTTTTTTGGGTTTCCTGCAAAATTATACCCATATGAAGCTTTAGGAATATTAGAAAAAGTAGTCACTAGGAAAACTAATAAACTTTTTGCCTGCAGAAGGCACTTGGTGCTAGTCATGCGCCTAACGCCTAGTTGGTCGAGTAATTTTTTTTAAAATTTTATTTTCATTTTTGAGTTCTCTCATATTGTTGTAATTTTATTCTTTTCTTTTGTAGTTTTCAATTATTTTTAATTTAGAATTGTAAATATGTAATTTCATTTATTATTTTTTAATTTCATAATGGTTGTGTGAAGAATTGCATGGTGCAAAAAAATATAGTTTTAAAATTATTTTTTGAATTTTTTTTTAAAAATATAGTTTTAAAATTATTTTTTGAATTTTTTTTATTTTTTAAAACAGTATCCGCTACCATTCTTTGTTGAAGAATGGTTGCGGAAAGTTGATTTAAAAAGGAAAAAAAAAAATAATACGCGACCATTTCTATTCAAGAATGGTCGCGTATTACATTTGAATAAAAAAAATAAAAAAAACAATACGCGACCATTCTTTGTAAAGAATGGTCGCGTATTACCGACAATGCGCGACCATTTCTAAATGGTCGCGTAAAGTCCCTGACTTTTCGCGAGCCTCTCATAGGCGACCATTGTACAATGGTCGCCTATTGTCTTTTACAATGGTTCAATTTTGTACTAGTGTTTATACCTTGCATATTTCTTAGTTTGATAAATTTATTATTAATAATTGGAAATATTATGTATCTTGAGAAAATATGTGACTTGAAAAACTTGGTACAATAGACTATGTACTTGTTATGTGATTTTTTTAAGGAAAATGATTTTTGCTACATCGGACTATTTGATTATAAGAATTATTTTGAATGTTCGGTCAAACTCATGAGGCAACCTACATTTTGTTGTTTGTTTTGTTCGGTTTGGAACGTTCCTAATTGCTCATTCCGAATCGTCGAGCTTGACTCATTCCGAATCGTCGAGTCTTTTGAATTATTTGTTGGAACGTTCCATCCGGCTCATTTTGAATCGTCGAGCCTGACTCATTCTGAATTGTCGAGTCTTTTTGGACCATTATACCGATAATGTCATGTGCCACATAATATAATGGTGGTTGTAGGTTGCCAATGAGTCATATATTAAGGAATGATATGTGCTTTTGAAAGTATTGTATTATGAAATGATGTTGATGCCCATGTAGCTAAAGTTTTTGTTTTGGGAATTTGTGTATAGTATGATGGAAGTATATTATGACTTCGATATAGTTTAAAGATTGATTTTTGCATCTAGTTATTACTCTAAAGCTTTTTGTATTATATTGGAGTTACTTGATCCGGGGTTGAGAGGGGTATCACTTATTGGGCATTAGCTCATTATTTGTATTTTCCTCATGTTTCAGAGTAGTTAATGACATGTGAATAGCATGAGCACAAGTGGTGGGGTCTCGAAGGTGACTTTTGAAACTAGGAGACTTAGTCCTAGTGTTGGAGCTTATCACGAATTTTTGTTTTCTTTTGGATTTTCCCTTGACCCTTGTATTTTTGGTAACCCGTTGTGCTTGTGATGTATTTTGGACATATTACTCATGATTGTAAATATTTATGTGTGGATTTAATGAGCTTTTGGAAGAACTAGTTGCCTATATTTTGTCATTTTGGGTTGTGGAATTGTTATGTATTTAAGTGTTGTTATGAAGGTTTCGAGAGATATGTGTGGTTAGGCTTCGTATTGTTACAAGTTTTCATGTAACGGTACGGCCGGGTCATGTCCTAAAAGTGGGGCGTGACAATTTATAGCAAAGGAGAAATAATAACAAAGTTAAAAATTAGGAATGTATGCCCCATGTACTCCATGTAGTAATCCCATTTCTACCACATACTGTATACACACCACCCACTACTTAATTTAATTAACAACTTAATTATTTAATTAACAAACTAATTTAATTAACTCTTGGTTTAACAATTATAATAATATTATTATTATAACATTGTCTCCTTAAAACCAAGTTGGATATATTGGTCATCCCAATTTTCTTCTTCAATTTAAGAAATGTCTCCGTCTTCAAGTTGGATATACTGACTTGTATTTCGTTCTGTAAACCCACTTTACTCCAATTGTCTTCTTCCCAGGAGGTAAATCTGTTAACTCCCAAGTACGACTCTTTTCAATGGCACGAATCTCCTCATCCATCGCCTTAAGCCAATGAATTTCTGTAGCAGCCTCCTCAACGGATAAAGGGTCACAATCTGCAAAAAGAACAAATTGAATAATCTCTTCATTCGACAGGTCATTATCATGAACCAAAACATAATCCTGCAAGCGAGCTGGTAAGTGGCGCTCGCGCTGAGATCGTCGAACTGACGATTCTGGCTGTGAAGGAGACTGGACAGGATCTGGAATCGGTTGCTCATCAACAATATTTTCAACAACAGGAATAACAACTGAACTTTCATCTTTAGCTAACCAATCCCAGACACCATATTCATCAAAAGTGACATCCCGGCTTATAACAACCTTTTTAGTTTCAAGATTGTATAGTTTATAAGCCTTTGAAGCGTCACTATAACCAATGACAAAAATGATAGTCTGGGACTAAATTTGGAATTACCACTAAAGAAAAGTGACCTCCGGTGGAATTAACTCATTTATTATTATTATTATTATTATTATTATTATTATTATTATTATTATTATTATTATTATTATTATTATTAGTTTGATAAATTTTGTTCTATGCATTAACAATATTTGTGTTGGATTTTTTACAAGAAGTTTGATAGAATTATTGTTAGTATTACTATTTTTTTTTTACTATAAATTCTTTTCTTTTCTCTTCTTTTCTTTACTTTTAAAAAAATATATTTTTTATTGTTTCATATAAATAGTTTTGATTGTAGGTACTATATAATACCATTTAGATTATTGATATATAATGTCGAGCTCTTGTGTTTATAGCAATGACGACCTTGAGATGGTTGATGTGGAGGAAGAACAAGTAGATGAAGAATTTGAAGAAGTTGAGTTTCATGAAATCATTCAACATTTATCGAAAACAATTTCTATGATTATACCCGTACTAAAAGAGGTTATTATTGATAATAATGGTGAACAAATTGAATATCCACTAGCTCGATGACCAATTACTTCACGTGGATACAATTACATACAAAACATATTGGCTGAAGACTATAAATAATGTATTAATAAAAGTTATGGAATGTTTTGTAAGGGTGTATTCAATTTTGAGTTTTAATTACTTTTGTAGACTTTTTAATATGAAAAAGTTTTTAAAAATCTATAAATGTTTATCCTATGGATTTTTAAAGACTCTTACAAAGTTGATGAAAGTTTTAAAAATTATAAAATAGTCTACAAAATCTCTACAAAAGTCATTTAAAATCCATCACTTTAAAAGTTTTTGAAACTCTTTAAAAGTCTTGATTGACCCCTAAGTCCATTCATTGAAATAACTATTCTAATTGCATGTGGATTAATACATTCCTGATAATAGTAATTTTGAATAATGCAACTTATCATCAAATGACATAACGTCGTGGCAAGACAAGACCAACGACAGGGGTTTCAAGTTGGGATATAGAAAAAAAAAATCCTAGATGATGTCAAAATACAAGAATGATATTCCATTCCAAGCTTATTTCTTGAACTAAGCACACGGTGAAAGAACAACCATTTCATAATGAAATAGATGGAATAGGTACGGCAATGTGGGAGCAACATCTCAAAGTGAGAGAGTTTTTTGTGCACAGTTAACAAAGGTCTAGCCTCTGTGTTCACCTGAATTACTATGTTTTACATCCTCCTAGATACTCTGTTGGGTCGGAGCATGGGAGCACTTAGAGTTGGGAACAACAACAATAGGCACACTAGACACGGATGAAAATGAATTGAAAGCAATAATGGCCTTAGGAGATATGTGTGGACTGAGAAATTTCATACTTTAACAATTAATCCCAATCTTTTTTTTTTTTCAATATATATTTTTACAATATATGTTCAACTTTTATATACTTATCTAAACATATATTAACATTGTTATCTCTGATCTTTACATATATATGTTTTTATCTGAAATTGGTATGAACTTAAAATAGCTTTCTTATCCCTGGGTCCAAAACACGGATGCAAATGTATGTGATCGATTTAGATTACTTTTTTCTTGAAGAACGAAATGTTTTAGGAATCCAAATTAAAATGTTTTAGGAATATTTATAAGTGAACTAATTAATATCTTTTATCTTTATTTTTTTCCTGATACACAATAATTAATTAATTAAGAAATAATTTCAAAAATAAAATAAAATTTAATTAGTTGAAAGTTATTTTTCTTCAGAAAGCTAGATTAAAGAAAAATGAAACAGATAATACAGTAGTAGTACAGAAATTAAGTGTTAATGAAAATGAAACGAAAACAATGGTCTTTGGCGTTATTAGATGACTTAGAAATTTTGTATTTGGAGTATTACCTCTTTTTTCCACAATACATGACAAAGAGGGGGTGCAAAGAACTTGTGTTGATGAGCGTAATTGATTCAGGATAGATAGATTGAGAAACGGTTACAACACAATATAGAGTTCTATATAGATGACTAACATAATAGTCTCCTATAGAATAACTAGGCTAAGTCAATCAAACTATAACCACTAGAATATTGAACATATATTATAATATTATTACTAACATACCCCCTCAAGCACAAGGTTGGAGGGAGACAACATTGAGCTTGTCCCGCAGAATTCGAAAGCGCAGGGCAGGTAGCGGCTTCGTGAAAATGTCCGCGAGCTGATCCTTCGTTGAGACAAAGTTGACCATGAAGTCCCCTGATGCGACCTTGTCCTGTACAAAGTGATAATCGATCTCCACATGCTTTGTCCGCACATGAAAGACTAGGTTGGCAGCTAAGTATGTGGCTCCTAGATTGTCACACCACAAGGTTTCTAGATTACCGGAATGTAGACCGAGCTCTCGGAGTAAGGAGATAACCCAAGTGACCTCGGCAGACACAACCGCTAGGCCTTTGTTCTCAGCTTCTGTCGAAGAGCG